TTTCAGAAGTAAAAGTTAAATTGTTTTGTTGTAACTGGAAATCTACCTCAGGAACTACTGGCATTTTTTGTTTGTTTATTTTATTGCATGAGAAGCACTACAAATTAAAACTCTTCTTGTTTTAGAGATTAACTTCCAGTGAGTGAATACATAATGACTGAATGATAAAGGGATGAAATATGAAAAGATGACAATAATAATGAAAACACATGAAACATCTAGAAAGTTTAAACAAAAGCTCAGATGATAAAGTCTGGCTACATAATATAAAGAAATAATGAAACATTGACTCACAGAACTGTGTTTTTGAGGTTTGATGCAGCTGAACTGATCTCACCGCTCTGCCCTCAGACATCTACACAGGCTGGGTGGCTCAGGTCCTGGACACAGACCTCCTGGTGGAGTCCTGGCAGACTCAAGGCCATGAGCTGCCGTCCAACTGCTCACTGCCCAAACACRCCATGAACATCAAGAGGATCAAGCTCCTGGCGTCAGTCCACTTCCAGTCTCATTACGACCACTCAAAGTGGTGCGTTTCACGACTCTACGAGGACCAGGTGACCTGCGTGGGAGACCTGAACAGGGAGAGGGCTCAGGTGTGGCGAGGCGGGGGGTTGATCTGCACCTACAACCCTGTGATTTACAAAGCCTTCAGACAGGTGGTGGATTGGTACATTAGCTGCTAGAMAAACRTAATGATTGGGGTTTRTWTGTGATTTTTGTGGACAAATTGYAAAKATYGAATTTGTTGTTGTTACAACTGACAGAAAATCAAATGACAAGTTTTAACATTTGGAATGAGCACGCTGGCTTCTGTGACAGCTATTTCATCATTTCCCTCCTGATTTRAAGACATTGTGGCAACTTTAGATCCTTGAAAGTCTAAAACGGTTATTGAATCTTTTATAGAACCCAACACACAAATCTTTGCACACAACTGTGAAGTCAGTGCATCCATTTAAAAAGGTAATATTAAAAGTGGATTGTGTATTTCTCAAACACACAAATGATTACATAAATTTACCAAATAATTTGTTGTTTTTCGAAGTGAAATGTAATTTTGTTTTCAAACACATTTTCTCACCCCTGTATTTAAGTTAAAGCAGATGTTTAAACTTTTATTTTGATGTATATATGTA